GGTTTGAACCGCCAGCCGTCTGGTTAGCAGGCAAATGTCTTAGCCACTATGCTACCAGATATGTATATATATATTTTTTTCCTTGCCTTTGTTTGCGGGGCATTGAGTTTATGCTGTCAGTGGTGGGATATTTCGAGAAAGGATAGCAATAATATGGCACAACATGAAAAATGTCCTCAATGTCCCTGGGCTGTGAACGGGGAAGTTGTTACACTGGTGAACGTCTTGTGTGTTTTTGCCACAATAAAAGTGAAAAATAGTAATAAAGGAACTAAAAGAAAAAATTAAATAACAAATTTAAAAAAAAAAAATCTCCACTTGAAATAAAATTAAGGATGGTGCCTAATATTATCAACACACAGCCCGAGCCGCTAAGGAGGGGGGAAGGAAGAAGGGAAGAAAGCCGGTCACGTGCCGCAGGATGGCCCGCCTTCTGAATTAACCAGCTGCCTTCCGCAGGACAGTTTAATTTATTCTTCCTCCCCTGCTCCCACTCCCAAATTTGTCCTAAATTCAATCAGGAAAGTTGTTGTTGTTACATGCCATCGAGTCGGCCCCGACTCATAGCGACCCCTCCTTGGATTTCCGAGGCAGTATCGCTACGGAAGGAGCTCTGGTAGCATAGTGCCTATGGCACTTGACTGCTAACCAGAAGGCTGGCGGTTCAAACCCACCAGCCACTCCTCGGAAAGAAGGTTGGGCAATCTACTTCCGTAGTGATGCCGCCTCAGAAACCCAAGGAGGGGTCGCTATGAGTCGGGCCCACTCGACGGCAAATAATAACAACAACAACAACATCGCTGTGGAAGTAGATTGCCCAACCTTCTTTCCGAGGAGTGGCTGGTGGGTTTGAACGGCCAGCCTTCTGGTTAGCAGTCAAGTGAGAGCTCCTAATCAGGAAAGTAGAAACCGCTATTTAGGTAACTAGGTTGCTGAACTGAGCAAGACATATGGTTTCATTAGTTCCTTGTTTGAATTTTTCGGCACCAAAATAAGAACTTGAATATCCCTGTTTGGTAATTTTTTTTGACTCATAGTATAATTAGAAGTATATGGTTTGGAAGTACAGGACAATATGCTTCAAATTATACTGAGTCAAAAAAA